AACCAAGAGCTATGTAAAGCAAAGGAAAGGCAATTAAATATTGCTAATACACCCTCTGGTGACATTGAATCTGACTGGAAGTGCTTCAAAGATGCTGCCTACACAGCTGCTTTGAACACTTTGGGTTCAATAGTCCGGAAACATCGAGACTGGTACAATGAGAAATGCTGCAGATATCAAGCGATTGCTTGATGGGAAACAACTCCTATATTTATCTTGGATGACTGATAAAACAGCAACATCAAAAAAAAAACCCAAAAAACCCCTGCCTTTGCATCAGTCTAAATTCAGAACTGTGTGTGATGTATGGAGGAGTAAGAAAGCAAATGAGTTACAGTCACACTCTGAAATGATATCATGGAGCTCTGCGGTGCTCTAAGGACCTCATTCAAATAGGTCCAACCCTGTTACGAATACAAGTGGAAAGACGAAATTCTCGAACTGTGAGCAGACCATTTTAAAATTCAGTTTAACAAAAGAGCGCCATGTCAGTGATGAAGCTACTGGTCAACTCTTCAGCATCACAGCAATGAAATTCTGGCCATTGAACCTGCCATTTTTTAAAGTAAAAGTAAAAACAAACAAACAAAACAAAAGACCCAAAAATGCCCCCCCCCCCCCCCACCCCCCCCCCCCCCACCACACACACACAGACACACAAGTGTGTTATAATCAAATAGCAAAACACCCGGCTCTGATACCAGTCCAGCTGAAGTCCATGTACCCAGTGAAGTCTACTTAATCTAGCATTTCATAATGCTTTTACAGTGGATACAGTATAACGAATGAACCCCCAAGAACACAAAGATGCTTCTGTTGTCCATATACCATATTTATCCAAATCCAAAATAATTTTGAATTTAAAATGACCACCCAGTAATTAGATTCTATATATGGAAAATAATAAATTGGTAATAATTTGCTTTGCATAGAATCTAATTATTGGAGGACTGTCTTGAACTCATTTCCTCACTGCTGTGGCAGGAAAAGCAGCAGTAGTAGGCAAGGGGCCAGACCCTGTCCCTTGACCAGCCTTTACCTGCCCATTGCTGCCTGCCCCAGCCCTAGCCCCAGCCCCAGCCCCAGCCTTAGCTTAATCCAGCTAGGCAAAATCAACAGTGGCAACTCTGGGCCTGCCTGGTTTGCAGCCAGAGCTGAAGGTAAGCAGTTGGGGCAGGGGGAAACTGGGCAAG